ACGATCACCGGACCTTAATCCGATAGACTCGTACTTATGGAGTTTCATGAAAAATGTCGTCTACACGAACACTGTTGACAGCAGAGAGAAACTTTCTCAACGTGTTCGAACTTGTCCGAGCCTCATTCTGACTCATGTGTTCATGCTCATTGAGGACATTTCGAGCGTTTGTTTAATATACGAAATCTGCTCTAAGTTAAACATTTAATATTTCAGATGCTTTGGAAAATTTCAATTGTTATCCTTTCTAAATGTAACAGAAGTGCTTCTGCACATTTCTTTATCTCAACTTGTAGACTTATATTAATGTCCTGAAGCTCAGCAAACATTTATCGCATAATTTGGAAACACCCTGTATAAATATATCACTTTAGCCTCGTCTGGCACCGCATGTGTGAATAAGGATGTAGGAAACATTATTCCTTGTCGTAATTTGAAAAAAGTAAAAATGAAGAGGCCTACAAGCTTGCACAATAACCATCAGTTTTAATTAATTTTATCGACATTTGTGTGTGAGCATGCGCGTTGCTCTCTGTTACTTCCTTGGCTACTTCTCTGTGACTCATTAAATTGCTTTAAACGCCCTGTCATTTCAAATGTTTGAAGCTGGTGCTTTTAAGTATTCATTCTGCAGGTGTACAGAAAAACAAACTGCCCGAGTTACAAAGAGAAGTTCCTCTTTGGACTCGAAGCCAGCGAGTTCACGAGGCGCTCTCTCACGTTCTACGTGTACTCCAGCGACAAGTACTCCAACACACTCATTGGAGAAGCGGAGCTCAAGCTCTGTGACGTCACATCGCGACAACCGGTCACCACGTGGCTTACGTTAACGGATACGGGTCAGGTGAGTTCCAGGGCAGGCGCCCCTCCGTTTGGAGATACGAAACAAAGCTCCTAGTAATCGTTGTAATAAAAGAGAGTATAAACAATATTTTGCAAACGTTTCTTTGAAATGCTATGTGCCTTTTCGTATTGATATTTATTTTTTGTTGATGAAGAACTATGTTGGTAAGATGGTCAACATTACAGATACTACGTTCCACTGTAATGAAGTTTGGCGTTTACGAAGCTGATAAGGAGTGCACGTGTTGTTTATGTCCGTAGTACGTCGTTATAAATTTAGGTTATAACGTTATTAAGAATTTCGAACACAAAATCTTTTTAATATCCTCTACTGCTACCCACAAATTGTAACATGAAACATTTTGAGAAAGGCGATTCACTCCCAGATGACATTCGTGCAACGTAAGTGCCAAATTTAAACGATGCAAACCAAATAAAATTCAACAAACTGTTTTTACTTTAGTGTTTGACACCAAATTTTATCCATATTTATTGATTAATTTCGTACCTAAAATGATCCAGTACATAGATAAATTCTTTTCTAGCTGTCGCCTCTTTATTTCGTACCTAAAATGATCCAGTACATATATAAATTCTTTTCTACCTGTCGCCTCTTTGTGTATTGCACTTTCAAAATTCAAATCGCAATAGCCCTGAAGATGGAGGCTGTATGTTCATCCGAAACGTTGGTATCACCTGCAATTCTACACGGCATTACTACCCAGAATACCAACATTTGTATTTTCTCTGCTGTGAGAACCTCGGATCTCATATTCCGGGAACTTATTTTTTACTCGCTGTGTTGTGCTTGTCCACAGCGAGGCACGCAGTTCGGGGAGCTCATGTTTTCACTTAGTTATCTGCCTACGGCCGAGAGACTCACTGTGGTTGTAGTGAAGGCCAGGAACCTTAAGTTTCCCCAAGACAGGGAATCAGGGGACTCCTTCGTCAAAGTAAGTGCAAAGAATTCTTAGTGGTTACTGCAATTTTTAAACACAGCGTATGGTATTAACAGTGCGTATTAGGGACGTCAGCTGATATCGATATGGATTAATCGTATTTAAATATCGCGTAATTTGTCAATAGCATGAAATTACTATTGTTTATTGAAATACATAAAAACTGAATCATGGAATCTGGGGAGACGTTTCGGTAAGTTATTTTTAAGAAGAAAATGTATGATTAACTGTGGCTGTTTTATCACTTAAATAGAAGTAATAGATGTGTACAATATGAACACCAAATTCAATTAACCAAGCAATTTCAAAAGCTCTAAACCAGTAAGATAATTCCATATTGATTGAAATCGCCCTGATATCGATATGAAAGTCAATATCGAACGATATCGGAAAATAATGCAAAGTACATGAGTTCCAGTAAGCAAATATCTCAAGAGAATATACTAATTGGAAGATAAGAGGACGATAAGAGGTAATCATACAATTGATCTTACATTCAAATTCTGATGGTCTAAACAGTAAACTGGATTTAACTGGCAAAGGTTAGGGTCAAGTTGTGAATATGGTGATGATAAGCGGTGGAACGTTTGTGTTAATTTGTTACACATTGAACTCCAGCCGCTAAAACCTATGGACATGTTAATCATGTAAGCCCGGTTAACAAGTCTTCTGTCTTACTTTCGTGGTTCAGTGGTATTCCATACACCAAAACACAGCTGAACCAATCAGATAGAATGCATCGTTAGCCAGGCGTTGTTAACCAACTAGTTGAGGTTTACATGACATAGGCGTTGTTAGCCAACTAGTTGAGGCTAACATGACATGTCGTGAACATCCGAACCGTAATGATGACTTTGTGAGTCGAAATATGTTGCTGTGATAGTAAATACGGTCGCCTAGGAAAATTTTGTTAGTATACAAATTTGAAACCTCAACATACTGTTCGTATAATCAATTAGCTCTAGTGACACATGAGCGGCTCGTAATGGTCGGTGGAAATCTTTGCCACGCCTTGCTGAAAACATTTATAACGGGTTTCATCTGCGGGTAACAATTCACGCCGTCATGCGGTTTAGCCCATAGCCAAATGCGTTTTAATTACTTGTAGAATCGCTATCAATGTCCTAGAATTATGACGTCACCCACACTCGAAGTTCTTTGCCGATTGCAGTATGTTCTGTTAACTGGCCCTGTCACAGGTGTACCTTCTGCAACACGGGAAGAAAGTTCACAAAAAGAGGACGTCGGTGAAAAAACGGGAGCGCAGCCCAATATTTAATGAAGCCATGATCTTCAGCGTGCCAGTGCACACATTACAGGTGAGTTCTCTACTTCACGTGAACGAGCTTATTGATTTATTTTAGGACTCTTCATCATCTTCAGAAGTACATGAGCTAAAGAA